CCAAAACATGCAATAAACCCATAAAAACCGGGGGATCTGGGTGAACCACATATCCAAAATTCACCCAGATCTGTTCAGTAGTTTGGAAGATACAGTTTAATGCAGGTTCTGCAGAACATATACAAGCAATATGAAAAATAATTGCTGTATAATGTGTCCCCTGTTGTATAGTTTAAAACTACTGCACGATGTCTTTGTGCACCAAATACTGGTGAGATGGCACTGTGTAGAAAAGTCCAAACAGTGTCTGTGAGTTAAAATGGCCGCCATCCATTGTTCTCACCATGTGCCTTTGATACATGAAATGGTGGCAACCCAGTAACTCCACAGTATGTCCCCAGATGGTTCTTAAAGGGCCAGCAGCAGCAAAATAAAATACAATATGCCCAAATCTCCCAGGGGCCATAGTCAGCAGGCGGGCAAACAGGCTTCTCCAGTGCCCAGTGGCGAGGTTGGTTTCGCCACATCGGTATTCTACCCTTTCTTCAACTCAGACCCTCAACTTTGTGTGGTTAAGACTTTGCGGGCATATGTGGCGACAACAGAAACGTTACGCCCACCAACAGCACGACAACTATTGGTGTCATATGTTAACCCACACGGCTCGGTTTCAAGACCACCATGCTGGCCAGATGGATCAAGTGGCTCCCCTCTAGCCGGGATAGAATCTGCCTTTGGAGCGCACTCCATGAGAGGGGCAGCGGCATCATGAGCTTTCATGGCAGGCGCATCATTATCAGACATATTACAAAGGGTGGACTGGTACAGCGAATCAACGTTTCGGACTTTCTATTTTCGCCCAACGCCGCATTCGCTCTTCTACCTAAGCGTTAAAATTACAAATATGAAGCCTCCTGTCATGTTATAAAATTGAAGATTATGCTAGTGCAGCGTACTAATAATCTTAATAATGACAGGAGGCGAGTATTTCCCTCCCCTTCATCTTGATGTTCCCACCCTTATGGAGGTAGGTTAAGGTTAACGGATATAAGTTGTCTTCAGTATTTGAGTTAAGTACGAATACGTATGTATAGGGGAAGAGTATTGTTATCTCTTGCAACATGATTTAGCTAACATAACATCTTAATACCAGTCGAGTATAGTCATTTAGGAGTTTATATATATGTTCATAGACATATGCTTCATACGGCCTGTTCCGTATCACTGATACTAGTCTCTCTTTCTTTTCAAGTTTAACAAGGCTCAGAGATGGAGAAGATTATATTCCCTAATGATTTCCACGTTGGATTAGGAGTTCAAGTTGAATTGGACAAAGTTATATTTTACGGACTTGTGATGTCGCACTTGCCAAGAGGAAATGATTGGTCATGCTTGGACTTATATACTCTCTGACGCACTCGGATTGGTTCTTTCTTTTAACAGTTTTTTCTTTGCTGCTATGGAGTTAGTAAAGAAAGTTAATGCAAATACTTGCCTCCTGTCATTATTAAAATTAAGATTATTAGTACACTGAGCTAGCATAATCTTTAATTTTATGTAAAGACACGGAGGCTCATATTGCTTAACCCTTTCTTTACTGTCCACCAATAGCAGCAAAAAATACAAACAGTAAGAAAAAATGGTAACCATAGTGATAGGCCACTCCCATACCAAGTCCCAGTATAATAGTCAGCACTTCCCCACACAATTACCAGATTTTACTAATTTCATGACGTAAAGTCATGATTTTATTAAGGACACGGAGGCTCATATTATGCTATTCTCTTTCTTTTATTCCTCAGCAGCAAGAAAAACTTTATTTTAGAGAAACAATCAACCATGTAAACATGCCCCAAAGGGCTAGTCCTACAATAATACAACCAATCAGCATGCCTTCAGCACTCTCAACTCCCCATGTGACCTTAAGCCACTCCTCTTTCTTGGTGTTGTCGACAAAAAATCCATAGTAAACACATCAACATGAAGGAAAAAAGCAAAAAGTCCAGGACCGCCACAGTGAAAAATCCAGTATTCTCTAGAAGCTGTGATCTTCCCGTAGGTCCTGAAGGAAATCCATGCACAATGGTGCCAAACCGGATCATGAAGCTGAAAGGAACAGAGAAACAAACTGGTAAAATATGTTTCTGGACTTTTGAACAGAATTAGACATCGGAATATATGCCACCAAAAACCAGATTATCCTCTAACCAAAACCTGTCAATACCTGCATTATGTTGTAGTAATCTGAACTCGTAACAAACTTATTGACCACTTAGCTATGGGAGGGCACCACTTACCTGCATCGGGTGGGATAATACTTGCCTCCGTGTCCTTAATAAAATCATGACTTTACGTCATGAAATTAGTAAAATCTGGTAATTTTATTTAAGGACACGGAGGCTCATATTATGCTAGTTCAAAGCTGTGACACGACCACCTCTGAAAAATGAGAAACTGGCCGAAAATAAAATTCCTTGAAGGTAGATTTGCGGGACCAATCAGCCGCCCGGAGTAGGTCCTCCAACCTGCAGCCTTTGGAGAATGCTTTAGTCGCCATGGCTCCCCTGACCGAGTGTGCTCCATACACAGAAGTGTCGATGCCTGCTAATTTCATAACCCACTTGACCCAACGAGACAAGGTGACTGTTGAAACAGGGTGATACGGATGACGAAGGGCCAGGAATAACTCAGGATATGCAGGATCACGAATCGAAGAAGTCCTGGACTCGTACTCCTTGAGACATGCTACTGGGCAGAGCTTGGAGTTATTTGGAAAGGCCGGGTAGAAAACTGAGGTGATTGACGTCTTCATACGCCTGGAAATATTAAACGAGATACCTTCGGGGGTGAATGAACGTGCAGCGAAGTCCAACGCACGCACATCCGACACCCGCTTACAGGAGATCAAAGAAAACAGCATCGCCAGCTTTGCTGTGAGTTGTTTCAGTGAGAGATCTTCGTTCCTTGGCCAATCTGCTAGAAACTGGAGGACAAGGTCAACATCCCATGATGAAGAGTATCTAGGTAGTGGTGGGCGTGCAAATCTAATGCCGCGCAGGAGTCGGCATACGAGGAGATGTTTACCAGCCGGGGCACCATCCCACCCTTGGTGGCCTGCGGAAATAGCCGATCGGTACACATTTATCGTGCGATAGGCTAGGCCATGGTCAAACAGAGAAGTGAGAAATCTCAAAACTTGACTTATAGGTGCCGATAAGGGATCCATGTGTTGTTCCATGCACCAACCACTCCATGAATTCCAGGCATGTAAGTAGGATTTCCGTGTTCCAGGAGCCCAAGCTCCCGCCAGAAGGTCAATAGTTGTTTGTGGAACGTCCGGGATGAATCCAAGTCCCCGGAGAGGAGCCATGCCAGTAGTTGGAGGCGTCCTTGTAATAGTAGGGGGTGCGGTTCCCCGTTGGGGTCCAACAAGAGGTCCGGAGAGGTTGGAATCAATCTTGGGTAGTCCATGGACATCTCCATGAGTGTAGGGAACCACGGTTGAGGTTGAGCCGTCCAGAATGGGGCGATGAGAATCATGGAGGTTCGGTAGCGCCTGAGATGTAGAAGCGTCCTCGCAATCAATGAGAAAGGAGGAAAAGCGTACGCTCGTGTGTTCGGCCACTGATGGAGGAAGGCATCTGAAGCCAATGCCTCTGGATCCGGTCTCCAACTGAAGAAACTCGGTAGTTGGGAGTTCAACCGTGAAGCGAAGAGGTCGATCCCTAGTGGGCCCCAGAGTGTTTGGAGTTGCAGGAAAATGGCCCGCTTCAGCCGCCAGTCGCTTGCATCCCGTAGGTATCTGGAATTCCAATCCGCCACCATATTGGACATCCCGGGAATGTGTTCCACCTGAACCGAAATATTGCGATCCAGGCAGAAGTGCCAGAAGTCTTTTGCTAGATCCGCTAACACCACTGACTTCGTACCCCCGAGATGATTGATGTAGCGGACTGCTGACACGTTGTCCATCCGTAAAAGAATGGAACAGTTGGTTGAGATACCTACGAGACTCCGAACTGCAAATGACCCCGCCAAAAGCTCGAGGCAATTGATGTGTAACTCTTGTTCGTCTGGGGACCATTTCCCTCCGGTGGAGATAGGACCGCAACGCGCGCCCCAGCCCAGCAGACTTGCGTCCGATTCCACGACGAAGTCCGGCCTCGTCCCAAAGATTGCTCTTCCGTTCCATGCTTCCATGTGTTGCAGCCACCAATAGAGTTCTTCTTTGGCAGCACAATCGAGAGGCACAGAGTCTGAATAGGAGAGACCTGACCGAAGGTATTTCGCCTTTAGGCGTTGAAGGGCCCTGTAGTGAAGTGGGCCCGGGAAAATGGCCTGGATGGAGGCTGAGAGAAGGCCGATGATCCTGGCCAGTTGCCGTAGCGTTAGTGCAGGGCGAGCCAGTGTCCGGCGGATTTCTTTCTTGATGATCCTGACTTTGGGCGATGGTAACAGGAGTGTCCCTTCCACTGAATCGATGGTGAAGCCTAGAAACTCCAAGACTTGGGAGGGTTGTACCACCGACTTGCCCCAGTTGATGAGGAAACCAAGGTTGCCGAGTAATGTCTTTGTCCAAATCAGATGTTCTTGGAGTAAGAGTGGGTCTTGTGCCATCAGAAGCATGTCGTCCAAGTATATAATCAGACGTACTCCTCTGCTGCGTAGGAGAGCGATCACTGGCCGCATGAGCTTCGTGAAGCACCATGGGGCCGAGGAGAGGCCGAAGGACAAGCATTTGAAACGCCATGTGGTCTCCTCCCATTGGAACTGGAGGAAATGTTGGCAATCCTCGGCCATTGGGACGGTGAGATATGCGTCCTGCAGATCGAGTTTGACCATCCAATCCTCCAAGAGGAGTAGGTCTCGGAGGGAGTGGATGCCCTCCATTTTGAAATGGTGGTACGCAACAAAGGCGTTCAGGGGACGTAAGTTGATGACCGGACGGACACCCCCGCCTTTCTTGGGCACCACGAACAGGTTGCTTATAAAACCTGAAACCCCTGGATGCGTCTCTATGATTGCACCTTTGACGGCCAGGGATTGTATCTCCATTGTGATTAGTGCCCTGTCGTGGATGGAGGAGACTATGTGTCTGGGGGGGGATATCTGGACAGGTGTTTGTACAAATTCTATGGCATAACCCACTACAGTTTGTAGGACCCAAGTATCGGAAGTTAACATTCGCCAGGCATCGATAAAGTGGCCTAACCTGCCCCCCACCAACGTTACTGAAGTTAGTGATGAAGGAAGTGGACTCACCATAAGGGCGTCGGCCATAGGAAACGCTTCTGGATCCACGAGCCTGCCAGGGTCTTCCTCGAACTGGGAAGAATGGAGAGGGCTTGGGTACCTCACTCTGGTAACGTGACTGGAAGGGGCCTCTAGAAACCCGGTACGAGCCCCGGGAAGAACGGCCGGGCAGACGGCCCCGATATCTGCCGGCCCCGCCAAAAACTCTATGGGAGAATACCTTTTTCATATTGGCTTGCGCCTTGTCCAGAGCAGTAAAAGTGCCCACATAGGTACCCAGCTCCTTCACAAAACTATCCCCAAAAAGAAGGCCTTTGGCCTGTGGCCCAGGTTCAGTGATAGCCAAGGCAACTAGCTTTGGTTCGATTTTAATCAATATAGCCTTTCGCCTCTCAGTGGCAAGAGCCACGTTGGCATTTCCAAGAAGACATATGGCTCGCTGTATCCAGCCCCTGATAGCTAGCGGGTCTATGGGAGCACCGCCTGCCAGTGCCGTTTCAACCATATCAAAGATCTTTGCACTGGGTCCGAGGACATCCAGGATCTTATCCTGGCAATGGCGAAGTGCAAAATCGAGACCCTTCTTCGCCTTCCACCCAGTTTTTCCCAGGAACTGGGCAATCTTAGGGTCCACTATAGGGGCGATACATATTAAATCTGGGAGCGTGGGGCGTGGGCATTCTGCCCACATCTTACTTCTTGCCACCTTATCAAGGGGTTTCCTGATCCGTGCGGCAATATATTTTGCCACATGGTCCAGCGGGAACCATTCAGTTGATCTTGGGTGCTGCAGACTATAAGGGTCAAACAAAGGTTCGCCCTGTGGGTCAAGGAGGGTGAAGCCTTCCACCCCGTCCTCGTCCTCATTCCCAGACATAGATATAGCGCTGTGGTCAGGGAATAGTGTGCCCAAATTGAATGAGTCCTCATCATCAGACTCGCTCCATGCCTCCTCCTGTTCCGAATCTGACTGGGATGATTCCACTTGGGCTTTTGCCCTTTTCCAACTCCGCACCGATTTTGCCCGGTGGGTGGCTCTTTGTTGTGGTGCAAACACATTATCTTTGACAGGACGTTCCCTGTCTGTCCTTAAAGTTTTGGAGGCTTCCTCGTCCATGTGACGAGCTTTTTTGGTGGCTTTGCGCCCACTGGCCTTGCCTGTAATGTGTTCTGTAGGGTTAGGGGCAAAGTGCGTAGAGGCCTGTTGGGCGGCCAAGAGGGCATGGCTAATAGAGTGGGACAGAGTGTCCGACATAACTCCCATGGCTGAGTAAACAGCTTGGGTAACGGATTTTGTCATAGTGGCATCCAGGAGAGAATGAAGTTCTTCCGAGTTCATTTGCTCCTGGTCTGCCACATCAGTGACAGTTGAGCCAGTCGGTCTGGGGACAACCTGGGGGGCAGGGGGCATATTATCCCTAATGGGGGAATCGCTGGAGGCCATGCCCAAATTCTTACTAGCTTGCATTACGAAATAACACCTCTGCAGTAGTTGTGGTTAGGTACAAGAATATATTATTTATAAGTAAACCAAGAAAAAAAGGGGGGTGAGTGGGGGAACCCAAATAAACTAATGGAGTGACTTCCCTGATTTTTTGCAAAACTGGGTACTAGCAATGTATCAGTAGGAATGATACAGAAATACCCAAGGCACTATAAATTAACAGACAGAATATGAAAAAGGCAAGCTCACCAAGTGTTCCCTCAGGAATGGCTCCTGGGGACACTGGTGAGCTGCCCAGCAACTGTGCTGTCCAATCAGCACACACTCCCGCCCCCACAGGCACTAAAAAAGCCCGGGAACGAAAACCGCGGCAAACTGCCAACCGCAAGATGGCCGCCGCGATGCGCACTAGCGTTGTGCGCATGCGCGAAACGGCGCCAGCCGCGGTTACAGCCGCGAACCGGAGGGGGGGGGGAGGGAGGCCCCCGAGACAGATCTCAGAGGCACGAAAAAACAGACTGGGCGGCAAGAGCCTCCACACGGAGAGCTGCTAGCCGCCCTGACTCAGTAGGTGATAATCCACCTGAAGTGAGTCAGAGATGGGAGGGGAGGGAGGGGTTGGCTCTAGGTGAGGGAAAAAACCTAGAGCCAGTTGGGAAATTAAGTGGAGAGATAGGGCAGAAGCCCCACAGTACATAGAAAAACGAACAAATTTTAATGAAACTGCCACAAAATGAATAAATATGAGAAAACACAGGCAGCATACAGAGAGAAAAATAAAAATGTACTTAGCTGAGGAAGGCAGCAGCAAGAAAGAGGAGTGGCTTAAGGTCACATGGGGAGTTGAGAGTGCTGAAGGCATGCTGATTGGTTGTATTATTGTAGGACTAGCCCTTTGGGGCATGTTTACATGGTTGATTGTTTCTCTAAAATAAAGTTTTTCTTGCTGCTGAGGAATAAAAGAAAGAGAATAGCATAATATGAGCCTCCGTGTCCTTAAATAAAATTACTCTTTCTTTGCTGCTACCAAACAGATAAGTACATGACCAATTTCTTCCATATTATAATTGCCTTATTGTTATGTATACTATTTATTTGCATTATTGATGTTACTCTGCTTGTAGTTTCATTATTTACTTATTTATTTTGGATATGATTTATGTTTCCATGTTTTATCCTATTGTTGATTTTTATATTGTGTAATCCTTTGAGCCCATGGTTCCAGACCTCTTTAGGGTATTATTATCAGTATCCCTATCACTTGAGCTTCCCCTGTTGCTCTTATCTTTTTTCTCTGTTTGCCTTATCTTTCTCAGGCTGTCTGTGCCTCCATTGTCCTCTTCCTGTTTGACAGTTTGGGCCCTGGTGAGCTCCCTATCTTTACCCTCTAATAAGGTATAGCTAGTCTGGGGTGATTACTCCTGCTAGCTTGTTCTCTCCCTGTCATTTTCGTTTTAGCTTTCAACTCCCTGCAGCATATATTACTATTTTATATTTGGTGTCATTGGGATATCTCACAGCAATTTTATTATGCCCAAGTCCAAAGTGCCTGCCACCCCCCTTCCCCCTGGGGAAATGGATATACCCCATGCTTTGGTTAACTCCCCTGCCAGCTCTGGCCCCCTTCCTCCGCAGGTGACCCTATGTCAGTACCTGACAATGCCCAATCCCTAGCTCTACAGCGCTCCGTTATGGATGCCATGATGGCCGCCATGGGCTCCATGTCCTCAGCTCTTTCCCAGACTATTTCACAGGCCTTACTGGCACGCCCTTTGGCCGCAGAAGGCACGGCCACGCCGAAGTGCTTACCGCGTTCTGCTTTAAGCCCTATAGGGGATGTTACAAGAAAAACTACGGCCAAATCCAGGCACTTAAATCCCCCTGCCTTCAGAAACAATACGACTGGTGTGACTATATCCACCCATGACAACGTGCCTATGTCACACAAGAGAGGCTTTCCGCACCAGGCAGAACACTGACCCCTTTGCCCCTGCTCTATCGGGGCTAGTAATGAGTGGCTCGCGCAGCGACTCCCCCGCTACCGCGGGTTCCGCCCTCATGGATCCGTCTGGGGAACCTATGTTTGACCCGGATGCTCTCCATCACCCAAGGTCAGCAGAATGGCTCTTAGCAAGGCGGCGCGCAAAAACTCAGTGCAGAATGTCCTAGACGCCCGATTCCCAGTAAAGTTTGTGAGACCCCTATTGTTGACCCCAAAATGTCCCAATTTCTTTCAAAAATGGGATGGAATCCCCGCAAGGGATTGGATTCCGCTTTAAAATCATGCCAGGACAAACACCTGGACATTTTTGGTCCTTTGGCCAAATTATTTGACCTGGCTGAACTAGCCAGAGCCAAAAACAGGCAGGTTGACCCAGAAGAACTCTGTGGTTGGGTGCAGAGGGCGATCTGCATAGCAGGCAGTGTGAACACCTCCCTGTCTATTGAGTGGCATAAAGCCATTCTCTTTAAAATTGAGCCCAAATTGGCTAACCTCGCTCTCACTGAGGAGGGCAAAGAAGCCCAGGGCATGTTGTTTGGAGAATCCTTTATAAAGGATCTGGGGTGCTTTTACAGCCCTGGACAAGGCTCAATCCTCTATGAAGAGGGTATTTCAGGGACGAGTCTCTACAAGGGCCGGCAGATTCAGGGGCCGTCTGTCCGGCCGGTCTAATTACCACGCCCGTGGATCGGGATGAGACTTCTTCAACCAGAGACCATCCTACCAGGAGACGAGACAACAGTCCCCTTTCTTCCCCTCTCGTGGGAGGCCATGGCGCTCCAGAGGGAACCCAGACGCCCTTACGGTAAGCTTACATTTACCTCATGTTTTTTCCAATATCTGTGTAGGGGCATACTCCGTCATTTTCTCCAAGCCTGGTTAGACATCACCTCAGATGCCTGGGTTCTGACCACAGTGAGGGGGTTTCACATAGAGTTGGTCAACACCCCGTGTCATATTCCTCCCCCTCACCCTATTGTACTTTCAGGGGCAGACTGCGCCCTAATAGACGAGGAGCTATCGGCTCTCCACACGAAGGGGGCGGTAGAACGGGCCCCAATGCCCCCCACAGGGGTTCTCAGCAACATCTTCCTTGTAGAAAAGAAAGGCGGGCAGATGCGCCCAGTTATCAACTTCCGGGCCGTGAACACTCTAGGGCACTACCGCCACTTCAAGATGGAGGGCATTCATCTCCTGCGGGACTTACTCCTTCTGAGAAACTGGATGGCAAAATTAGACCTCAAGAACGCATACTTGACGGTCCCAGTGACCGAGGCATCCAGGGACTTACTACTCTTCCTCTGGAAAGGCGACACTTGGCGCTTCACATGCCTCCCTTTCAGGCTCTCGTCAGCTCCGTGGTGCTTCACCAAATTGATGCTCCCTGCCATGGCTTGGTTGTGCAGTCGAGGCGTAAGACTAATAGTCTATTTGGACAACATCCTCCTCATGGCACATGACTGCTTGGTCCTCCTGAAACACCTACAGGGGACGATGGATCTCCTATCTCGCCTGGGTTTCCTCCTCAATTGGGAAAAATCCTGCCTGACCCCTTCCTGACGCATGGAGTTCCTCGGGTTCACAGAAGACTCAGAAGGGGAATCTCTCAGCCTCCCTCCGGCCAAAATATGCTCCATCCGCAAAGAACTACGCCGAGCCCTAGCGCGCCCCCAGCTGTCGCTGCATCATATGGCATGGATCATCAGCCTACTGGCCTCCTCAATCTAGGCGGTGTTTCCTGCCCCTCTCCATTATCGTGCCCACCAGCGTCTGAAGATCGCACATCTTTGCAACGGGGCATCATCTGCAGACATGGTTTCCCTGGATTCAGAAACCCAAGACGAGCTGACCTTGTGGATCCACAACCTATCCGCTTGGAATGGCAAGGCCATCTTTGGTTCGCAACCGGAATTCACGGTGGATTCAGATGCAAGTCTCCACGGTTGGGGTGCCCACTGCAACGGTGTGACTACCGGGGGACACTGGTTGGAGGAAGAATCCTGTCTCCACATCAATGCCCTGGAGCTCCTGACCGGCTCCTTTGCGATCCGGAGCTTTGCGAATGGGACCGCCAGTGCGTGCATCAGACTGGGCCTGGACAACAACTCAGCAGTTCGCTATGTCAATCACATGGGCGGCACGCATTCAGCTATTCTGGCCCGCTTGGCGAAGGACTTCTGGGCCTATTGTTTGGCCAGGAACCTGATCATCCAGGCGGAATACCTTCCTTTTTCCACAACACCCATTGCGGATTGGAGCTCACGCTATCTGTCAGACAGCAGCGATTGGAAATTGGATGTGGAGGTGTTCTTTGCTATCTCGTCTCTCTGGAGACCTTTTACCATCGACCTCTTCGCTTCCTACAAGACTGGACCGACTCACCCTTTTACGTCTTCCCTCCATTTGCCATGATTCCTCAGGTTCTACTCCAAGTACGACGCCAGATAGCCGACTTGGTCCTACTGACTCCATTCTGGGGGACCCAGTCGTGGTTCCCACAACTCCTGAAACTGGCGATAGATGTACCCAGACTTCTGCCAGGATCTTCTGCTGGACCCATTGGGCCAACGACACCCACTTCTTCTGGATGGGTCGTTGCTGCTACTTGCATGGAGGACTTACGGGATCCAAGGGATATCCAAGGAGTTTCGGGTGCAACTCGACGCCTCCTGGCTGACACATGGGCCCCCGGAACTAGACGATCATATGGGACCGCTTGGACTGGCTGGTGCCTGGCTCAGGACTTGGATTCTGTTTCAGCACCTGTGACAGCGATACTCCAATTCCTCACTTCATTATTCGAGGCTGGTCGGTCGCACGACTAACCTGTATAGATCATCAATTTCTTCAGTTTACCAGGGTTTTGATGGCGGTCCTGCAGGCCAACATCTTTTGGTGTGCCGCATACTTCGGGGTTCACGCCCGTCGCATCCCCTCAGACCTCGATATTCGGCTACATGGGACGTTTCCCTGCATCTTGTCACTGTTTACTTCCTATCCTCCTAATGCCGACCTCACCCGGCGACAACTGTCGGCCAAATTGGTTTCCCTGTTCTGCCTCATTTCGTGCAAAAGGGTCTAGGATGTACGGGCCCTGGACTACGATGCTAGATCCTTCACTCCGGATGGAGTGACATTTAACATCTCCAGACGCACTAAGACGGCTGTACGTTCGTTCTCATATCAGTTTTCCAACTACCCCGGCTCTATGTCCTGTGACCTGTTTGAGGGAGTATGAACTTCGGATGAGTGCCCATCGTTCGGCCGCGTCCCCTCAGCTCTTTCTCTCGATTCGTCAACCCTTCACACCGGTGTCCAGCACTACCTTGGCTCATTGGGTGAAATGGGTGGTCACTGGCCGGTGTGGATACATCCATCTTTAGCGCTCACTCCGCACGAGGGGCATCAGCCACGTCTATGGTGTCTTCAGGAGCACACCTGGAAGACCTGATGAGAATGGTGGACTGGTTCCGCGAATCCACCTTCAGAGAATTTTACTTTTGGCCTTCAACACGTTTTCACTTCGGTTATTGATCAGCTTTAAACTTGCAATATTAGCCTCCGTGTCTTGATATAAAATTACATGATTTTGCTATTTCATGACGAAAAGTCATGATTTTATGAAAGACACGTAGGCGAGTATTGTCCCACCCTTTTATTTTTCTATCATTGTGTTTCCCCCCCTGTTGTGTTATATCTCAGGTTGGTAAGTATTGCACTGAGTTCAACATGGTATTGCCTTTTTTTGTGCATCCGTACTGTTAATGTTATGTTGGCCTGGTGGTGGTTCTCTTGTCTGACATTAGGGGCACTATGTGGTTTCAGTATATCAATATATTATAGCTTGGCATGAGCAATTGGTTTTAGTACCGATTTAACGGTTGGGCTCCTGTTTTTTATGTTTTCACAGGTTGATTCTGCGCTGTTGGTGCTGTATAAAGATCCTCACTTCTTCCCAAGACTTCACCACGTTGGCTGGAGATCTATGGATGGTGCTGTGACGGACTCCCTGTTGTTGACGCTTAGTCATTTGTTGATGGTTTAGTCCCAGTTCACATATGGTTCCTGATAAGTATCCGGCTGGATTTCGGGATGGTTTGGTCTGCTGAGTTCTGGACTGTTCATCGGTTCCTGTTTGCTGGTTTGGTGTCGCATCTCCAAAGAAAGAGGAAGTGTGTGGGGAGGTGCTGACTATTATACTGGGATTTGGTATGGGAGTGGTCTATCACTATGGTTACCATTTTTTCTGTTTGTGTTCTTTGCTGCTATTGGTTGACAGTAAAGAAAGGGTTAAGCAATACTCGCCTCCGTGTCTTTCATAAAATCATGACTTTTCGTCATGTAATAGCAAAATCATGTAATTATGTTATCTCCCGGGCTAAGGGGAGGGAATGTGTGGGCTGTACCCAGCTAGGGATTGGATAATGCCTAATTTTCTGTGGGTGTTTCCCTTGCATGGGAGAATTGTATAAAAGCTGAGTATGTGGCCATTAAAAAACAGTTTTGCTCCTGATACGGAGTGTCGTCCAGTTATTGGGAAAAGGTGATGGGATATTTGTGGATTATTTTATGTACTGCTTATGCTGTTCTTCCTATGATAACCTACTATATCCTGAGTAACTATTGGAATACCAGCGAAGAAAAGTCTATGTTAAACTAGCGCTCCGCTACAGTGTACTCTGCTGATGGGGTACACATGCAGTTTTTGTGTACCCTGCTGATGTTGGGGTACACCATGCAGTTTTTGTGGTGCCTCTGCTGATGTTGGGGTACACATGCAGCTGTTATTGTACCCTGCTGATGTTGGGGTACACCCTGTAGGGGTTGTGGTGTCCCTGCTGATAATGGGGTGCACTTACAGTGGTTGTGGTGTGTGAAGAATCACCCTCAATTCGTTTTTATTTTCTCTCCCTGCTGTTGTATTCGTGAGATTTATTACCTGTATTACTGGTGCATTCGTTATTTTCTGTACGTTCAAATCCCTTGTTCGGTAAAATCGCTATTTTACCGAACAAGGACCACCCTGGGTAGCAATTAGAACATAGAATCGCGTGTAACCGCATGTAATTGAGAGTTCCCAGGTGCCATTTCAGGAGCCGAACACGTGGTGAAGAACAATGGATGGCGACCATCTTAAACTCCCGAACGGCCAGTCAGCGGGACTTAGGCGTCGACCGCCTGGAACTCTTTTCGGCATAGCCCGGTCCCCCATGGAAGTCCCGCCCGACCTATTTTCATGAACTTGACAGCGTACATGAAATTCAATCTACCGAATGAGGGGAACACTTTCCACGAACTCTGTATCTTAATCCTGTTAGTTTTCGTGTAAATTGATGCGAACGGAGACCCAATTTCATGGAACTCTAAATCGGATACCAGTGTGCAGGGAGCCGGTCAAACTTCCACGCGACGCGACACGAAAACTACCGAACGGATTTTCATGAAATTTAAGTATGTTGCTTCCCAGACCATCAGCTACCCAGGGATGTTGTTATGTTTATATGTAATATAAAAAGTACTTTTCTGAAATTGTTGAAAACTGTAATGTTTCTGGCCAGCAGATAATTGAGCTTTGTGTATTGTAGAAACTCAATTATCTAGCCTGGCCCAGAGGAGGAGTTTTGTGTTGCATAAATTGTGAGTTCTGTGTGCCAGTAAATCAGACTTGTTCCAGCATTAAGCCTTGGCTCATGTGTGGATTATTTGGCGATTACAGCGATATTTCTTCTTGTGGATTATTGAGATTACTCTGTTATTGGGAAAAGGAAAACTAGACGGTGATATTGACTACTACCGTCACATGGTGCCACTGATGTTGGGGTACGCATGCAGTGGTTGTGGTGCCCCTGTTGATGTTGGGGTACACATGCAGTGGTTGTGGTGCCCCTGCTGATGTTGGGGTACCCATGCAGTGGTTGTGGTGCCACTGTTGATGTTGGGGAACCCATGCAGTGGTGCCCCTGCTGATGTTGAGGTACACATGCAGTGGTTGTGGTGCCCCTGCTGATGTTGGGGTACACATGCAGTGGTTGTGGTGCCCCTGTTGATGTTGGGGTACACATGCAGTGGTTGTGGTGTCCCTGTTGATGTTGGGGTACACATGCAGTGGTTGTGGTGTCCCTGTTGATGTTGGGGTACCCATGCAGTGGTTGTGGTGGTCCTGTTGATGTTGGGGTACCAATGCAGTGATTGTAGTGCCCCTGTTGATGTTGGGGTACCCATGCAGTGGTTGTAGTGCCCCTGTTGATGTTGTGGTGCCCCTGCTGATGTTGGGGTACCAATGCAGTGGTTGTGGTACACCTGCGATGTTGGGGTACACATGCAGTGGTTGTGGTATGTGTGGTGGGTACACATGCAGTGGTTGTGGTGTCCCTGCTGATGTTGGGGTACCCATGCAGTGGTTGTAGTGCCCCTGTTGATGTTGGGGTACCCATGCAGTGGTTGTGGTGTCCCTGTTGATGTTGGGGTACCCATGCAGTGGTTGTGGTACACCTGCGATGTTGGGGTACACATGCAGTGGTTGTGGTATGTGTGGTGGGTACACATGCAGTGGTTGTGGTGTGCATGTTGACGTTGGGGTACACATGCAGTGGTTGTGGTGCCCCTGTTGATGTTAGGGTACCCATGCAGTAGTTGTGGTGTCCCTGTTGATGTTGGGGTACCCATGCAGTGGTTGTGGTATGTGTGGTGGGTACACATGCAGTGGTTGTGGTGTGCATGTTGATGTTGGGGTACACATGCAGTGGTTGTGGTGCCCCTGTTGATGTTGGGGTACCCATGCAGTAGTTGTGGTGTCCCTGTTGATGTTGGGGTACCCATGCAGTGGTTGTGGTATGTGTGGTGGGTACACATGCAGTGGTTGTGGTGTGCATGTTGATGTTGGGGTACACATGCAGTGGTTGTGGTGCCCCTGTTGATGTTGGGGTACCCATGCAGTAGTTGTGGTGTCCCTGTTGATGTTGGGGTACCCATGCAGTGGTTGTGGTGTCCCTGTTAAAGTTGGGGTACCCATGCAGTGGTTGTGGTGTCCCTGTTAATATTGGGGTACCCATGCAGTGGTTGTGGTGTCCCTGTTGATGTTGGGGTACCCATGCAGTAGTTGTGGTGCCATGTTAATATTGGGGTACCCATGCAATGGTTGTGGTGCCCCTGTTGATGTTGGGGTACCCATGCAGTGGTTGTGGTGCCCCTGTTGATGTTGGGGTACCCATGCAGTGGTTGTGGTGTCCCTGTTGATGTTGGGGTACCCATGCAGTGGTTGTGGTGCCCTGTTGATGTTGGGGTACCCATGCAGTAGTTGTGGTGCCCTGTTGATGTTGGGGTACCCATGCAGTGGTTGTGGTGTACCTATTGATGTTGGGGTACCCATGCAGTGGTTGTGGTGTCCCTATTGATGTTGGGGTACCCATGCAGTGGTTGTGGTGTGCCTGTTGATGTTGGGGTACCCATGCAGTGGTTGTGGTGCCCTGTTGATGTTGGGGTACCCATGCAGTGGTTGTGGTGTCCCTGTTGATGTTGGGGTACCCATGCAGTGGTTGTGGTGTGCCTGTTGATGTTGGGGTACCCATGCAGTGGTTGTGGTGTGCCTGTTGATGTTGGGGTACCCATGCAGTGGTTGTGGTGCCCTGTTGATGTTGGGGTACCCATGCAGTGGTTGTGGTGTGCCTGTTGATGTTGGGGTGCCCATGCAGTGGTTGTGGTGTGCCTGTTGATGTTGGGGTGCCCATGCAGTGGTTGTGGTATGCCTGTTGATGTTGGGGTACCCATGCAGTGGTTGTGGTGCCCTGTTGATGTTGGGGTACCCATGCAGTGGTTGTGGTATGTGTGGTGGGTACACAGAGCCCGAAGCCCCTCACCCCCCGCGTGCCCCCAGAGAGCGGGAACCATCACAGCAGCCGCCATTTCATGTCTCATCCTCGCAAACCCTCCAGCCAATCACAGCCAGGGGGCGGGGCCTGATGACGATCCGCATCCATTCGACCGTTGGCTGTCAGTGTGGGCGGGGCTTTGTGTTCCACGCCTCGCTTTGGTCCGTTGTGTAATGGCGGCCGCAGTTCGGGAGTTCCCAGCTGGACCGGAAGTGTAAGATTTGAGGTTTCCGCTTCCTGTTTCGCTGCCGCTTGTCTCTCACCGTCTGCCCCGCGAACTATAGGATCCCATATCGGTGAGTGTCACCGGGGCCGCGCTGGGAGGGGGCTGGGCGGGACTTCCGGGCACCGGCGCCATTACTGAGAGCTGAGGTGAGATTACCGTGAGGGGGGGGAGCTCTGTGTTACCGGGGGAGCTCTGTGTTACCGGGGGAGCTCTGTTACTGGGGGGAGCTCTGT